AACACTATCAGAGATGTAGAAAAAGATGTATGAAAGACAGGAAACCGAAGAAGAAGATTATTTTCAAGGGTAAGGATGGCAACACGCAAGGTTTGATAAGCTGAAAATGTAAAACTTCCAATATCCTCGTTCGTTTTAGAGCTCTTAAATGGATCTACATGTGATGTGTTGCCAAATTTTCCCAAAATAAATGGAAGTATATTAATTTTGCATTCTTCAAAGGTTGCATGAAAATACCAGGCAAGTTAGTGCAGGCTGCACTGGTTATGTTTGCAGTACTGTGGTGAAGTTCACAGTGATTCACTCTGCTGGAGGGGTATGGAGCAGGCTGTTCATGGTCAATGTTAGATTAGATCAAGAGTAGCAAATATTATTACATTCACTCAGCTAATTCTAGCTTTTATACAATGCATCAGCCATGCAGCTCTAGATAGATCTGCTTATAACTTGTTGAATTCAGCGTGGTTAAATCCACAAAAAGCAGTGAATACTGAATATAGGAGAAGCAGCACAGCTTAGCTGATCACAGCCTGTATGCACAAATCTGGCCTGCAAGTCATCATGTGACTTATTTCTACGTAATTCTTGTCCCCATGCTGCACCAATACAAACAAATCTCTGAGAGTTACCCCACTTGCCAAATCCCACTTGTACCCCTAAATATAAGCCATAATGTGGACTATAATTATATTATATTATATATTATTATATATTATTACTATATTATTTTTCATTCTTATCCAAACTATGAAAGAAACTGCCCTGATAGTCTTCCTAAGAAAAAAACTGCTAAAGTAATTGTCCTGTCCTGTTTTCTTTCTTTAATCATGAATCTCTGCATTCAGTGTCCAACAATCTGGAGATAAAAAGTGCAAAATATGGATCCAAAATAAATTAATCTAAAGTATAGTGAACATCTAAGACAGATCTAACTGTAACACTTGAAACTGAGTGCCGCACTTGAAATAGACATTTTTAGTCAGTATGTACATGTCAATATTTTTTATATAATAGATATTAAAAGACTGTACTCTCTGGAAGTATGCAGCTGTGGTTTGCAATGTGGAGCTACTATAATATAAGCAGGATATGAATGTGTGCATGTGATGGAGGCAGTAGAAAGCCATTTGAAGTGAAGTGGAAGGTGTTTTCTCACTGGAGCAGGAGCATGCTGGACAATAGCATCACGGAGGAAGTGAGAAGATGAATGAGCCCTTGGCTCAGAGGGCTAGAGCGACTTAGCTGATATTGTTGTTCAGTTTTACGTTCCTTCAGAAATTGCTCGGAGTACTTCATGTACTTCTCTACACACCGCCGCGACTTCACTTGCTCAATCAGGGCTGGGTATCCAATCTCCTCAATGCTGACGGTGTCGTCATCTGCGTCCTCAGCTGCACTCTTGGATGTGGAAGAGCCTTGATCCTTAAACGTATCAGTCGAATTCATGCAGCGACTCATGAAGCTTTCGTAGGTCTCAGCACGTGGAGGAGGGCTGTAGACGTAATCACGGCCATAGTCTTTTTGATCTGTTGACTGGGTGCCATAACGACGCTGCATGTAATTATTGTAGTAGTACTCTTCTTCAGGGTTACGGAAAGTGAAATGTGGTCGGGGGAAGCGTCCTAATCCATATCCAACTGCCATTCCAGCCAAAGCACCGACGCCTGCAGCCACCATGGCTTTTTTGGCAAAACTTGGTGACTTGGGCGCGTACCCCATGTTCTGCACAGAACGAGAAAAAGGTGACCCTGCCATCCCATAGCCATAGCCTCCTCCACCAAAGCGGGGACTCAGAATCTTATTATTTGGGTTCCAGTTGGAGTAGCCACCAACTGCTCCACCAGGGTAACCTCCTGGATAACCTCCTGGATAACCTCCTGGATTTGAACCAGGCACATTCCAACCTGGTCTTGTGTTTCCAGTTTGGACTGGGTAACCACCTGGATACTGGTAAGGATACCTTCCTGGGTTTTGTGGATAACCACCCGCTGCTGGGAACCCCCCACCTGGATACTGATTAGGATAATTCTGGTTTGGATAACCTCCAGCAGGGTACTGATTAGGATAACCTCCGGGGTTGGTACCAGCTCTGGCTGGATATTGGTTGGGGTAGCCTCCGGCAGCTGGATTTTGATTTGGATAATTTCCTCGAGCTGGGTTTTGATTAGGATACCCTCCTGCTGGGTATCCACCTGCAGGGTTCTGGTTCGGATAACCTGCAGGATTGCCTCTGCCAGGGTACTGATTTGGGTTGCTACCGGCACCTGGATAACTTGGCTGGTTCTGTTTGGGATAAGGGTAACTTCCACCAGGAGGATAAGGATTGGTGTTTCGATTAGGACTCTGTGGCTGACGAGGGTAGTTTCCTGGTTGAGAGTTGGATGTCTTTGAATTTGTCCAACCCTTGTTGCTGCTGGATGAAGATTTTCCCCTGCTGCTGCTGCTGCCACCTCTTTTAGCCCATGCCAGCTCAGTGTTCAAAAGCGACATGATAAGAAGAGACACAAGAACCATCTCACACAACCTCCCCATCATGGCCCTAAAAGGAAAAGTCATGGTTGTAAACACCCGTATATATATATATACATACACACACACACACACACACACATATATA